AATAATAATAATAATAATAATAATAATAATAATAATAATAATAATAACAACAACAACAACAACATTAATAATAGGAGCCTAAGATTGTTATTATTTTAAGCTCCGATTCCGGGGCAGGGCTAAAGCTTTGCAAACCGCCGGATTGGCGAGGCTGGAACCCGATTTTGAAAAGCACTCAAATAAAAGGCGGCGACGTCATGAAAGGAAAGGCGGCGGGAGGGGGGTAGGGGGGGGGGGGGGGGGGGGGGGAGGAGGAAGAAACAGCGAGCCCCAGCGAGTAAACCGAGCCAGCCAGCCAGCCAGCCAGCCAGCCGGCCTGAAAAGAAGGAGGCGGGGCCTAAGGGGCCGCGACTCCGGCTTGTCAATCAAAGGCGGGGAGTTCCACGAAAGTCCCCAGCAATCCTGCGCGGACCTGACCCGCAGTCCATCCCAGATCAATAGGAAAAGTGAAGGCGGCAAGAGAGAGCTTTGCGCGGCGGGCGCCGGTGGAAAAGCGAGGGAAGGAGAAAGAACGCAAGAAAGAAAGAAGAGGAGGAGGAGGAGGAAGAAGAAGACCTTGCTGGTCTCCACCCCCCCCACCATCTCCCCTTCCCACCCCTTCACCCACCTACCCACCCCTTCCCTCCCACCCGCCCCGACCTCGCCAATGCGGGGCAGACTTTCCGCGCGGCGCCGCTAAACAAAAAAAGTGCGCAGAGCGAGCCCGGGCCGAGCGCCGAAAGCTGTCCGCCTGCAACTTTCTCGCCTCTCTCGCGCTTCTCCTCGGCGCCTCCTTTCCTTCCCCCACCCCTCCTCCCCTCCTTCTCTCCTTCCCCCCTTCCTTCCCTCCCCCCCCGCCCCCCCTAGTCCCCCCCCTCCATACCCCTCCCCGCCATGGCATTTTCCCAGTTGGGCTACCAGTATATCCGCCCGCTCTACCCGACGGAGCGCCAAGGGAACAACAGCAGCGGCGGCGGCGGCGGCGGCGGCGCTGGTTCCCGCAACGGAGCCGAGCTGAGCCCGGCCGGTTCGCTCTGCGGCGTCTTGTCTTCCATGTACGGCGCGCCTTACGCGGCAGCCGCGGCTGCTCAGGGCTACGGCGCCTTCCTGCCTTACGCGGCCGAGTTTCCCATCTTCCCGCAGCTGGTAAGGAAAAAAAAAAAGAAAGAAAGAACGCGCCTTCCTTTCCTCTCCCGGAGCCCCCCCAAAACCCCCGACTTTCCCCGTCTCCCCCGGTTCCCTTCCTTGCAAACTTGCAAAAGCGGAAGCGGGTTTGAAGCCGGAGCAAAGCTGGGGAAGCTTTGGCGCGGGGACTCGATCCTTCGTGGCTTCCTCACCCGAGAGAGGAGCCAGCCTGCAAACGAGCTTCAAGGATTTTTTTTCCCTTTCTTTTTCCTTTTCTTTTCCTGTCTCTCTCTCGCTCTCCCTCTTTTTTTTCCGTGCAACAAAGAAAAAAAAAGGGAAACTTCCCGGTTTTATAGAAGGAGCGATTTTGCTTGTTTCCCTCCCCCCCCCCGGTTTTCCTTTTTCTTGGCTTTTTTGTAAACAAACAAACAAAAAACTAGCAACCGAATTTTCAAGCCAATCGTTTGATGGGACGTTTTGAAGATCGTTCCCGGGCGGAGAATCTTTCGGGGTTTCTTCGAGTTTTCTGGGCCGGCGGGGAGGGGGAGGTTTACGCAGGGGATGTGGGGAGGGGGGCCGTAGGAAGACGGGGAGGGGGGGGAACCCACCTTCGGGCGCTCACCGGAGAAGTTCGGCTGCTTTCCTGCAAAGCAGCCGGCAAGGCAAACCTCCCGGAGGGTTGGGAATCCGGGTTTTAAAATCTCTATGAAAACAGGACAAAGGCTTTCGGGAATAGTTTGGCCAAACTTTTGAACACCCCGGGTTTTATTAGCTTCAGATATATCGACGAATAAATGGCATATATATTTTTTTTTTAAAAAAAAAGTCATAATAGGAAGAGTCCGTTTAGGAACGCGAGAGAAATAATAGGAAAGAGTAAAAGTTCGGGCAGATTTCATACCCCTAATAAAAAGGTCGGGAAGAAAAAAAAAGTCGGAGAGCGGTTGTTTGGTTTGTTTAAAATGCTTTTGAAAGGAAAGAAAGAGAGAGAAAAAGGAAGGAAGGAAGGAAGGAAGGAAGGAAGGAAGGAAGGAAGGAAGGAAGGAAGGAAGAAAATTTAGAGGCCTAGAACGGCTTTGCAAAAAGACAATCCGAACACTTATGCTATTCACTCTTAGTTACACATATACAGGAAACAGACAGATGAGGAGATCTGGAGGGTTTTGATTGACAGCTCCTCGCATTGTTGGGCAGCTTTAATAGAATTTATCCCCTCCAATATGCAAAGAGGGGGCTCAAAAGAAAGCATCACGCCCAGACTTCTGCTAGATTCAGACTGTGAATCTTTTATTCCTGCAGAAGCATATGTCTGTCTGTCTGTCTGTCTGTCTGTCTGTCTGTCTAACTACAGTATCTATCTATCTATCTATCATCTATCTATCTATCTATCTATCTATCTATCTATCTATCTATCTATCTATCTATCTATCTATCTATCTATCCATCCATCTATCTATCTATCTCTAACCTTCCCAGGGCTGCCTTCTCCTTTTTTTAAATTCATACCCTAATACCCGGAGGGTTTTCACCCTCATTTTTCTAGCCCAGAACCACTTAAAACTTTTTCTGCAGAGGAAAATCAAGCCTTACTTCAATAGAAAAATACTTTGTTCCCATCAGGATGAGACTATAGAATGAGAAAAAGGCCTGAAGCCCTTTGAAAGGTCGGAGGTGTTTAGGATGGGGAGACTTTGGTTGAAATTCCCTCTCTCCCTCCAACCAAAGTTTACCTGGAGACCTAAAGGTACTTCCCCCCCCCCCCCAGACTTTCTGGTTTTGCTTTGAAGACGTTTCCCTTCTCACCCAAGAAGCTTCTCCAGCTTCTTACCGGGAGACCTGTAGCTAAGGGGAGAGAATCACCCAGTGGATGGATTCCCTGGTTTTAAAAAACTGTTTTCTCCACACAAGTCATCAGCTACACAGGATCCCAGCTGGCTCTCTTTGCTAAAACGTGTTGGCGATCGTTTTTTTAGGCTGCATTTTCCCCCCTTTTGCAAAGATTAGATGTCATGCGAATCCATCCCCCCTTCCTCTGCTTCGTTTACTGCCTTCAAACAAACGTGGGGGGGGGGGATGAGTGAATCCCAAGAAGACGGACAAAGGGGTTGTGTGAAGGCAGCCCCAGATTTCCCAGCGGTTATTTTGCAGGGGTCCCTTGAGCTGAATCCACCGATCAATGTTTGGGGTGTTGTTGTTTTTTTGCAAGAAACGGTGTGTGTGTGTGTGTGTGTGTGTCCATTCCTGCTTCTAACCCCTCTCTCTCTCTCTCTCTCTCTGCTTCTTCCCTCCTTCCCTTCCATCGCTCAGGGCGCCCAGTATGAGCTGAAGGACAGTCCCGGCGTCCAAGCCGCGGCCTTCCCAGCCCCTCACCCGGCTTTCTACCCTTACGGCCAGTACCAGTTCGGCGACCCTTCCAGGCCCAAGAACGCCACCCGCGAGAGCACCAGCACGCTGAAGGCCTGGCTGAACGAGCACCGCAAGAACCCCTACCCGACCAAGGGCGAGAAGATCATGCTGGCCATTATCACCAAGATGACCCTTACCCAGGTCTCCACCTGGTTCGCCAACGCCCGGCGCCGCCTCAAGAAGGAGAACAAGATGACCTGGGCGCCCCGCAGCCGGAGCGAGGACGAGGAAGGCACGACCTACGGCAGCGAGGACGGCGAGGGGGAGAAGCGAGACCCCGACGACGAGGAGATCGACCTGGAGAACAGCGACAGCGAACCGTTGGAGAGCAGCAACGGGGGGGCGGCGGCGGCGGCGACCGGAGCCGTGGGACAAGCCGGGCAGCTGTTCCTGCGCGTCGGGGAGGAAGAGGAAGAGGACAGGGCGGGCGGCGCGGATCAGGGGGGCGCGCACCCGACGGCGCTGCGCCTGCCTTCCCCGCGGGAGCCCCGCGCGGGCAGCGACACGTCGGACGAGGAAGAGGAAGAGGAGGAGGAGGAGGAGAGCTCCGACGGCTTCGAGGAGCTGGCCGGCGCTCAGGAGCGCTTCCTGAAGGCGGTGGAAGCGCGGCGGCGCGCCTCGACGGGACCCCCGGCCTCCCCACCGCCTCCGCCTCCTCCTCCTCTCCGCAGCCCCAGCCCGCTCCCTCAGCCCGTCCAGCCGGCCAAACCCAAGATCTGGTCTTTGGCAGAGACGGCGACGAGCCCGGATAACCCCTCGCGCAAAACGCCCCCTGGCGGCGGAGGAGGAGGGGGAGGAGGAGGGGGGTCACCCCCGACCGTCCCCCAATGCCTTCCCCAATCCGCCCGGGGCGCCGCCGCGCACAGACTGCTCTCCTCCGCCTGCCCGCTGGGCAAGTTCGCCGGCTGGTCGGGCCGGCCCTTCTCGGCCGCCTCCTCCCACCCGCTGACCTTGCTGAACACTCCCCATCTCTTGGGACTGGCGGGGGGCAACTCCAACACGGCGCCCGCGGCGGCGGCGGCGGCGGCGGCTGCAGCGGCGGCGGCAGCTTTGGCGGCTTTTTCCAGACCGGCGGATCAGGCGCAGAGCGCGGAAGCCTCCGGAACAGGTAACCACTGGACGGGAATGGGGGCGGGGGGAGAGAGAGGAGGCTAAACCAGCCGTCGGGTGGGAGGGGGCGCGGCAAGCTGGAAAGGTGCTTTATTGTGGGGTGGGTAGGGGGCGTGGAGGCCCCCTTGGATCTCTGCGAGGAAAGTCAACCGTTCGCCTTTTCCTCCCCAAATCGGATTGAAATCGATTCGGGAGCTGGAAGATGGGCCCTTGGATTTGATACCCGGTTTGGCCCGCGGAAGGTTTTGGGTTTATTTTGTTTGAGAGGACAAGCGTGTTCAACCCGGGATCCTCGGTGGCTGCGTTTCCACGAGCTGCTAAGCGCCCCCCCACACACACACACACATACACACAAACAGTTATTCCTTCCTTGGCTTAACTCGATGTACGTACGGATCCAGCTCTGGTGCTGGGGTGGTTCCGTAGGTCGTGCAGAGACTGGAGAATTTACAGAGGAAGTTCGAGGAATCTCGGTTCGGGTCAGGGCGGGCAAAGGGGGTCGTGAGAATCCAGCCAGCCAGGAATTCAGTGCCTAGCTTAGCAGCTGAGGACCTGGAGGTGGGGAAGAGAAAAGGGGGGGGAAGAGGGTATCCCCCCAAAATATGCCAAATGGGTTAAGAAAGAAAAAGAGAGAAAGAGAGATAGAGAAAGAAAGAAAGAAAGGAAGGAAGGAAGGAAGGAAGGAAGGAAGGAAGGAAGGAAGGAAGGAAGGAATGGGAAAATTGCAGAAGACGGTTTGAAGAAGCGGGAAGGAAGTCCTCGGGAACTTAAAACCCCGCGACAACTGAACGTGAGGAGAGGGACAGAGAGAGAGAAAATATATATATTTAATGAAGTTATTTCTGGTTTTTTTTTTTTTTTCAACGGTGCGGGGAGAGCCCAGAAGAATCTTGGGGGGTGGGGGAAAAAATCTTCCTTTTTAAACCAGATTTAAGTTGTCCGAAAAAGGGAAGCTTTTTGTTGGGATTATTCCACGCCAGCTTCCGGTCTGTTTCAAGAAGTTTGCTTCGTTTGTGTTTGGATCAGCAATTAAATCGAACGGGGGCGGGGAGAGACGAAACGGGATTGAAGAAGCCCATCCACCCACCCACCCCCAGTCAGTTTTCAAAAAGGGGTAGGAAGCAGAAGCTGGGGTTCTGTAGTCCAAAGCCGATTTTCCTTGCTGCTGACGGTGTGTATAATTGTTTGCAAACCATTTCCACCCCCTGTGGATTCGGGGAAATGCTTGTTGATTCCTTCCCTCATTCTGCACCTGAAGGTGTCTTAGTATTTGCTTTTCATCCGGGTTTGGAGGTCTGGGAGGCTCCTAGAAGTCTTCACTCATGCGAGCCTAGCCCCTTACTTGGAAGTAAGGCTCAGCAATTGTGTGAGCCTTGGAAAAAATGGTAAGAAAGGAGAAGAGCTCAGGGGATCAAGGGAGGAAGAAAGCGGAATTAAAGAACAAGGGCTGAAGACTTGGACACTGTGGACGAGATGGTTATTGTTGTGATGGTGGCTGTTGGTTGGGTGCTTTGGTCAAAGCACCGAATGAAGTTCTAAAAGAATGAGATTAATTCCAGAGACTGGTAAAAGAAGGGGGTGCTTTGCAACAAGACAACAACCACACAACACACACACAAAGGATTTCTCTCTTCTTTGTTTGCTTTCGTTTGTTTTAGATCGATCTAGTGCCTTGGATGTAGAGAAAAAGTTAATAAAGACAGCTTTCCAGACAGTTCAAAGGCGGTAAGAGTTTATCTATTCCTAGACGAGCAGATGTATGAAAAGGGAAAGTGAATGGGTGGGTGGGGGAAGTAAGGAGCATTGGCTTAGAAAACCGGTTTCATTTGGAATTGAATTGGTCCGGTTGCCACTCGGCTCCTAACTTTCCCCGAAGCAAAAATGTCACTGAAGCGGTTGCAATTTACTTCCAAGCACACTTTATATGAGGGTTGAATCAAGATGGTATTAGGGATTATTAGGAGATGATTGAAAAGCTCCTTCATTTGAGGTTTTTTTTTTCTTTTTCTTTTTTCTTTAGTCCGTGTTTAGTGGTTTTATGTCTAATTATTCTCAACTGATGTTGATGTCTGAGTTATTAAAAACCTCTCTACTCAGGAGACATAAGACAGTCCTGTCTCTGTATGAATATGTGTGTAGGACTTGGGTGTTATTTTTGTTGTTGTTAGAATAAATTGCAAGAGGAAGCTCCCCAGTTCAAAATGGACTGCATTGAAAAAAAGGTTTCATAGATAAAGATTTGACACTTGGTTGTAAAATGTGTGTGTGGAGAAAGAAGCTGTTAGGCTAGGTTATAATTAACTGCCTTAAACCATTAATATAAATGAGCAGGAATAAACAAACCAAAATCTAAGTCTAAAAACAAAACATTTTGGTTCCTCCCCTTTTTCAAAGCTCCAAAATATGTGTTTATTATTATTATTTTACTTCTGTGGATATGTATATACAATTTAGGTATAATACAAGAGAATTAAGTGTGTTCTAGCCCACTAAAATCAGAAAAGTGAGGGATTTTTATGCATCTCTTGAAAACAGAAAGGAGAAAAGCAAGTACTCACAGATAATAATAATAATAATAATAATAATAATAATAATAATAATAATAATGTGGGAAGCCAATAGCAGCTGCAAACTGTGTGGTATTCTGCATTTTGGGGAATTAAAATAGTTTGAAATGAAGGGTTTGGTCCAGAATACATTGGTGCCCCTGTAAAAGTAAAGAAGTTCTATTAATCTGGTATTGCCGAATTAATTAAAAGCATTCCAAGGCCTTTAAGACTGGCCCATGGTTTTATTTTATGGCTGAAGGGCCAAGGGAGATGTAATTCTCCCCCTTCAAATGCTAATTCCGCAATAAATTTAAATTAAGAGAGAAATCTCTACCTATCCCAGGAAACCTTGATTAGCATTTTGCTAATATTAGTTCAAACTAGATATATTGCTAATAGATATATTGCTAATTAATCTACCCATTACCCAAATATGTATTTTCTGTATCTTTTTTTCTTGTAGGCCTCAGAACCAACTCGATGCAGCTATGGTTCTATCGGCGTTGTCATCATCCTAGTTATTTTTTTTAATTATTGTTCTAATGGTTGTAAAATAAAATTATCTGTATAGTTACAGCTCGTAAGCATGTCTGTGTATTAAATGAAACAAACAAACAAGTGTGTGTGTGAGAGAGAGGGGGGCAGAAATTTAACTTCTGTTAAAAACATCTGGATTAGCTAAACTCGTGAAATATTTTTGGTGCAGCCTGGTGAAAGATAAGGCGTTCATTTTCTTTTTTTGTATATAGAGTAAAATAAGCGGCGCACTCACACCCACCCAAATGTAAATAACTGTGAACCAAACTGTACAAGAAAGTATATATATTTTTGGCTAATAAACTGTTGCCACTTTGACTACGCTTTTTCTGAGACCAGGCAGAACTGGATTTGCATTTATTT